AAAGAAATTACAAATGTTCTTAGCTGCTGTAAAATCAATACTTTATACATATATATTTAATGATATCTTCGAAGAAAAAAAAATAATAGACATCAGATCTTTAATGTGTATCAAAGATTGTAATCATGAAACCTCGAAGTGCTGTTCGTCATATTTATGTTGAGTGAAAGTTATTCAATGTTATCGTCTTCTTCCATATTGATATCAACATCTTCATATTTTCCTTTGTTGTTAATTTCTCCGTCATCTTATGCATTTTTTAATATGACTTATAGATTCCTTTGATAAATGACAATTATTAATAAGCTGTACCAGCATGTATCAGTAGGTATACTTCTTTTTCCGAACATTATCTCATCTGATGGTCGGCACGTTCAACATCATTGTTAGTTAACATTCAATTTGTAAATGAATTTTCATTTCTTTTTTTAACTACGCAAATAAGAACAATTAATGAAATCGCTATTAGTACATGATAGCTACTATGTGTAAGTAAATATTCAAATAAGAAAAATGCCAGGCATGTATCGTACTGATGGAAATAAAAGTCAAGATAATACAAATGTCACAGATGCATAAAACAGATCATCACGTCAACTTGTTATTAGCTGTCGTTTTTTTGAAATAAAGTTTTTTGCAGCAACTCGTGGTCTCTATATGATCATACCCTTAATATATCATGAAAATCTTCTATTGCATATCAAAAATAGAAAAGAACAAAAGCCCATCAAAACCGAAAAACAATGAATATTTCACCTCTGAATTTGATACCAAAGGAGTACAATTGATGAACATTTAGGAGAGTACTTATACTTGCAATGTCTATATCTCTAGAATGACTCGTTCGTATAGCAAGAAAATATATAATTGTAGAAGTTTTATTTAGTTGATATATATGAGAAAAGAAATTTTTGGTTTTCAAACGATCATTTTCAATCTAAAATTGATGATACAAACAAACAAAAAAACAACGAAATCAATGATGAAAACTAAAAGAAACATCATGAACATATAATATCATGATCTAAATTATCACTATGAAGTAAGTCAAATAATTCATCTCAAATACTAAATTTACCAAGAAAAATTAATATCACTCAAGTTTTATGTTCTAATTAATATAATAATAATAATTATGTATTAAGCCAAATATAATACTTTATTTTTCGTAATGATGATGTTATAAAGTCCATGATATTATATGTCCATGACGTTTCTATTTGTTTTTATTATTGATTGATTGTTTGTTCATACCCTCAGCTTTAGATTGAAAACTGTCGTTTGAAGAGTGAAGATTTCGTTTCTTATATATATAAACTAAGTAAAAGTTCTATAATTATATACTTTCTTACTATATGACATCATATTAAATCTCAAGATATATTTGATTTCATACATAATAACTCGTTCGTTGGGTTGAAACTTCTAGTTTATCCGTACCTCAGATGTGCCTAACTACTAAAAAAGTAACAGACAAATCTATGCGATCAATTGAGCTATTTCCTGCACGAGCTGCTCGTGGCTTACGTGCAATGCTTACTATGTATTTTGACATTTGTTTTGTTCATACAAGCACGAAAAAAAAAACAGAAGTACATTTTCTTGCAGTTTTCTTATCTCTGTCTAATGATAAATATATCATCGAAAAAATAATGTTCCTATTTTGAATGCCTGCACTTTACTTCCAATCCTATCCGACTGTTCAAATACTTTTACAAGACTATGAAATAGTATCAAGCATGATAAGCTATGTTTGCAAATAAAACATTTCTCATCTTCTCTTCGTAGAATTGACTCATTTTTGCGCTACTTGCTGTACTTGGCGCTTGTCGTATTTTGCAGCATGCCATCAGTTATGTTTCCTTCTCTTTCAATCGCACGATCGTATTCTTCGTTCTTTTCTCCATATTTACTCATGAAATTCAGTAAGCAATCGATGGGTATTAAAAGCGAGTAATTTCAGCAGCAACATCATTTTTTTATAATGCTTCGAATCAAGCAAAATTCTTCCTTTTCTACACAGCAGTCAGAACAACAACACGTGCCATTGAAATATGTGAACGTCGAAGCATACATTAAATCGTTCGCTGCTGATGTCACCATCGAACAAATTTTTCGCAACGATGAGACGAAACCAATCGAAGCAGTGTATTGTTTTCCAATAGAAGAACAAGCAGCAATCTATTCATTTGTGGCTCGAATTGATGATCGAGAAATTGTCGCACAATTGAAAGAAAAAAAGGAAGCACAACAGGAATACAGTGATGCTCTTCAACAAGATTATGGTGCATATTTACTCGAACAAGATGAAAAATCTCAAGATAATTTTATTATGAATGTCGGTGCACTACCAGCCCGTAAAGAATGTCATATTTATATATCGTATGTCTCCGAATTGGATCTTGTTCAAAATGGAAGCCAAATTCGATTTGTTGTTCCGACGACTATCGCACCTCGCTATACTCCAAACAAACACGGCATTAGTTCACCGGCTAGTACCACGTCTAAATATGTTCAAACAGCTCCATATACAGTTGAATTTCGCTGTCGAGTGGAAAAAGCTAACGTTTCTCGAGTTAGTTCGATGTCCCATCCTATCCAGGTTGAAGTCGATCAAGTGAATGTATATACCATCGAGTTTGCTCAACAAAACACTCATCTAGATCAAGATATCTTGTTAGATATTGAATTAGCTAGCAATCATTCGAATACTATTGTTGCGGTGGAACCAGGTGCTGTTATGACTTCATTTATACCAACTAAAGAAGATTGTCAACACGCGATGAACAATGTCGAGGCTACGAATGAATTTATTTTTGTTATCGATTGCAGTGGATCAATGCACGAGCAGAACAAGATTGGATTGGCTCGTGAAGCCATGTTACTCTTTCTCAAAAGTCTTCCACTAGATTGTCAATTTAATATCATTCAATTCGGATCTAATCATGAGGCATTATTCGATGAGGTCACTTCTATTTACAATGAAAAAAATGTTCAAAAAGCCGAACGACTCATCAATCAATTGCGGGCAGATTTGGGTGGTACTGAATTGGTAAGTTTAAACAATTTCATCTTGAAAAAACGTTTTCGTTTGTCTTCATTGTAGTTAGAACCGCTGAAATGGTTAGAAAAGCATCCTCCACGAAAAGGTCGTACGCGACAAATATTTCTGTTGACTGATGGAGAAATTTCAAATGTGAACGAAGTACTTGATCTATGTCGTTCAATGGCTACTTCCACAAGGATCTTTTCATTTGGTTTGGGTCATTCGCCGAGTCGTTCACTCGTCAGAGGTCTTGCTCGAGCAACGAAAGGACGTTTCGTTTTTATTCCACCTAATAGTAGTGTCGATATTCATGTTGGTGAACAGTTACAAAAAGCTCTACAATCTTGTATAACCAATATACAAGTGAAATGGAATCTGGGTACTAATGTTGTGAGTGCACCATCAAAAATACCACCAGTCTATGCAAATGATCGTCTGATTGTCTATGCACTTGCCAATGATCCAATGTTTGTCTTCCATCATAATTCCAGAGTGGAATTACGTACTAACAGAAGTCGATTAGGTAAGGCGAAAATTGATGGTTCATGCAATGTGAGCATGAATGGGACCATTGCTCGGCTCGCTGCCAAAGCACTTATTCTCGAATTGCAACATTCGAAATTTCCCTCATCGATCGAGAAGAAGAAATCAGGTTCGTTATTGAGTTGTGTTCGGAAGGATCGTTCATGGCCACCACCAGCAACGAGAATCGATGAGAAAGGAATGACAAAGAAATCCATTATTGAACTTTCACTCAAATATCAGATTCTGAGTCCATACACCGCTTTTATTAGTGTTGAAAAACGAGTGAATGGCAGCAATGCTGATATGATCTTGCGTGAAGTACCGATTCAAATATCGACCGATGACCAACACTTACTGGTATCCCATTCCATGAATCAGTGTGCCAATATGATGCCATCTAGTCCGATGACATTTCGTATGATGCAAGCACCAATAGCGATGTCTACGGCGAATCGATCTATGTCAACGGAGTACAAGCAACGTAAAACTTGCAAACCGATACCTCAATCAGATTCATTTCCAGAAGATCTCATCGATGAAATTGACGAAGAGGACATCTCTCTACGGATTTTCCCTTCAGTACCATCCAAATCCAATTATATTTGTTCTACGACCAGTTTACGCCAGCAGCCTTTAGTCGATGAAGGAAAAGATAAAACATGGCCTACAGACGATCAAAATATTGTTCGCTACTTGATCAGCAAACAAAAATTTGATGGTTTATGGGATCTGGATGTGGAAGATATAGAACATTTGACTGGGAAGCCATTGGCAAGCTTTACACCATCTAATAATAAACAAATTCTCATTTCGGCTATTGTTATTGTCGCACTTGAAACATATTTCACCACAATGTCGGCAATGTGGTATGGTGTAGTGGAAAAAGCTCGCAAACGTCTTCTTGATTTACTTGGCCAAGACGTTAAACAACTTGAATCGTTACTGAAGAAGATTCGTCAACAATTTTGAAAGTTGTTTGCCATCGATTAAGCATGAATGTTTTACCTGCGATGAACATTTTTTCATAGAGTCAAAAAGACAAATAATAGTGTTTTTCCTTTCAGAAAAACAACAATAGAGGAAATGACATTTGCCTGGAATGACAACTTATCCGAGTTGATGTACGATTATAGGCGAGTATTTCTAAAACACTCGACTTGTCGAAATTAAAAAATATACACAACAAGTTATCAATGCTAGTTAGTTTGATTGTCATTTTGATTGATTATTAATTTTAATCGTTTTTATATTTTACCTATCACTCATTCACATAAAGAAATACTAAATTTGTTCCGTTCGATTTTAATGTCATTTAATTAAGTGTTCAATATTATTAAATTTCGATTTTCATCATTTTTCTTTCAATGCACCTTAGATGTGTTCTATGGTCAAAATATCTGTTTTTGGTTCAATTTGATTGACGAAAATATATTTCATGTTACAGAAAGTCACAGACATTATTTGTTTAGAATCTTTATCATCTCCAAAATGTAGATAGTTCATAATAGTGTTGTTATCAATGGGGGAAAATCTCATTCCTAGCCATTCGAATCGCTCGGAATACCCGAATGAGGTTTTTTTTCTCCTTGGTTGTTATAGATTCTTATTTATAGTAAAATTTTAAAACTGTTTCATTACGCTAGAAACATATTTTATGTTTTGGTGAGGTTGGTCTATAGTTCTTGGTTCGTTAAATTTAGTCCATTAACTGTAGTATTGACTTCGAGTTCGATAATATGTGAAATAAATTGAATTTAGAGTGGGTGCGCGTGTGCATACGGACTTAACTCTTGTTTTCATCCGTCTCGACAAGCATTAATTGATTGAAGGCAAGAATAATTTTTTTTTGTTTGCATGCTCAATTACCGACGATCCCTTCTCAAAAACAATCAAGAGCGTTGCGACAGCCAACCCTGATAATGATAATGAGACTATATATCTCAAAGCACAATACACTAAACACTATTGATTGAATATGTCGGTGTGTACAGAAATCGAGCTTTTGGGGCTTATTATACTACCCTAGTGAGAATCTAAGTTGTTCTTATCTCAGATCCTGTCAGAAATTGTTGTTTTTTTTCATGAAGAAACGACTAAATTCTAATAGAAACATGTAGTCGAGAATTGTCCCCAATGTCCTAACGATTTCCGCTTGATTCTTGTCCTAGATCAGAAAACTCTTGGAATATCTCACGATTTTCCATTGACTATTTGAAAGTCGCATGTTATCTTTATTCTAAATAAAGAACATTCATATAGAAACTTGTCTCTTTTTTTTATAGGTTCAACAATAATGTCATTAGCTAATGAAGTATTTGGCTGTTTTCTCATTTATTTGTCATATTGTGACACGATACAATCATTAAGTGGCATTAATAAATGATTGAATTTACTTATCTATTGATTAATACATTGAGTTGATGTATCAACAAAGAAAAAAAACAATAGTTAAATAAACATTTATTATCAATTCAACCTTTGATAACAAAAATCAAATTTGATCATTTGCAATTACGAACATTGTTTTCAACAACAACAACAATCCATAATCAAGATTCTTGTCCTAAATCAATAATATAGAATTATTAATATGATCATAATGATGATGTATGTATTTCATATTTAAATGAGTGTGAAACAAAATTATTATCATTAAGTTTATATTTAAATTCTCATGATGATGAAACTGTTTATAATAACATTGCATTATTATTATTACCAAATCATTCATTGATGGACACTTTAGCATTTAAAGATAATAAAAGTCATTATTTAATAGGGTTTTCATTTAAATCAAAGAGATTAAAATTAAATCAACATTTAAAAAGATTAGGCTATCAAATAACGTTATATTCATGATTTATTCATATCAATTAAAAAGTTATCAAAATTACGATTTTTAAATGTTGAAATTTGTGCAGCTACCCCAAATTGAACGATACGGTCTGTACATAGCCGTTTACAGTTAATTTATAACGTAGCAACAGGTCACATTCTAGCCGTAATATCTGGTACACAAATACGGCCGTATCATGATAAGGTTACTGTATATTTACGACCCTATACAATAAAAATACGGCATTGCACACAGTGCCGTATCACTGCACTTAAAATTACGAGCAAATACAGTTCAATATGATTAGACTAGTATTCAAAATCAAACTGCAACATTATCACCATTATTAAAACACTTGATTATGGATTCATTGAATTTAAAATATTCTCGTTTACTATTATTGTTAGAGCAATGTCAGCAATTAATTGAATTATTAAAATTAAATATGTTGATTTATGATCGTATCGAAAGTGAAGTTATTGAATCAACAATTATATCGAACGTGCCGAAATTAAAACAATATTCAGTTTCATTTTCGATTAAGTGTTGATGAAAATATTAACATTAATACTGGTAAGAAACAAAAAGGGATGCGACCGTTTATGATGTTTGGATATTACACAATCTGAACACTTTCTATACCTCAGGTGTCTGAGATCTCCTCAAACATCATGCAACATTTTTTTTTGCGTCATTTCATCAAAGACATATATCACTGGATAGAAATGACTGTACTAATCACGAATATTATCTTTGTTTTGAGATTTGATTAATACTTGAAAAAATCTGAGCGACTTCCCGATAGCTCAGAAAACTAGTTTTTTAATGTTAAAGTCTACCCTAAATCCTGTACAGAGTCTTGAAAGTGATCTCATTCGACATAGAAATATTTTCGCTATTCAAATCTGTATGAATTCATTTGATTCTCTTCTTTGTTCGGTCGATAGCTGCCAAATACCCCCCTTTCAACCCTTTCTTACCAGGCCTAAGAAGTACAGATGATCTTCGTGTACCAGAAGAGTTGATCCTTAGACATTGCATTTGAAGTTTAAAATAGTTTTATTAGAAAGAGCACGTCGAGTTACGTATCTCTCTATTACACGAAGATCATATTTACCTCTTAGGCCTGATAAGAAGGGATGGAAGAACAACGGAGGGTGTGAGTGAAAAAGTTATACTGCCCACATCCACCCACACCTCACACACCCCCTTGAGAATTAACCGACACGATTGAAAGTGAATGTAAAAGAGTGAATTGATGAAGAGTGAGTTCATTTGAGAAAAGTAGATGTGGTAGATTTGGAGTTCCTCTATCATCGGAGAAACACAATGAAAGAATTCGATCACATATCAAAGGTAAGTACTGTTGATAAATCAGATCAAAGTCACGTTTGGAGATCGATTGACGATTAAGATGATAAGTTTGAAAACGAACGACGAGAAGTGTCTCGAAACGACAACTGAGATCGTGAAAAACCACGTAGAATATCAGTGCCATCAAGAAATTCGAAAAGATTCCAATTACATCTTATTTTTTCTTCGGTTGTGCAAAAGAAACAATTAGAGAAGATTGTGTGCTTTCATACGACGAAAAGTAACGTGTTTTTTTTCTTTCTACTGATGTTGTTTGT